AAAAGTAAAAACAGCGGAAACAGCCTTAATTAAAGATGATAAAGAATTACCAGGCACACATTTATTTGTCTTGGGTTGTTAATTGGTATTGGTGCCCTATAGAAAATAAACATACGGAATGTATAAGAATTTCCCTGTATTTGATACGGAATAAATTTTTAGATATGGAATAGACGTATTTAATCTACGTTTTAGTTTTGAAATTTATCAATGTAATGCAATACGGAAAATGTACGGAAAACGTATGGAATTAAGCAAATTATAATAGTATTTATTGAATGCTAAAAATTTTCCGGATTTTTAAAACCAGTAACATAACAAAAAAAAAATTTTTCTTTTTAAATAAATAAACACATAGTAATATAACCTTGTTACAATGAAGTGAGTGACTGGCTGGATATGTAAGAAAATTTCATTCAAAAATTCGTTGAAACAAGAATTCACTGTATCAGATACCAAACATTGAAAATCGTGTTTTGACAAATTCGAGTAACTTATTTAAAGAAAAATATACAAAAAGGGTATTGCCTCTAAGCTATACATGTTCTTTGTGACAAATCATACGTAATAATCAGGTGTTATAAAGCTTAAAATCGATATATAGAATTGAGCTTACTCTTAAAACAACATTTCTTTTTTTTTGACTCACTAATTCAGTAAATAAAAAATATTTAAAGTTATCACAAATAACTTATTTGTTAAACAACAACATTGCATTGATTGCAATGATAATTATAATAATAAAATACAATAAACATAAATACAAAAAGAAAAATTTAAAATATAATTTACATAGTAAAAAAATAAACCTATTGATAATCTATTGACTTAATAATGATTTTGTCGACTCTTCGTCACCACTATAATCTCTAGTGAATGCATTTACAACAGTTTCATTACTATCTCGTCTTTTATGCCCGCCAAGTTCCGGATCAATTCTATTACTAGTAGTGACAATGATCGTACCATCCCTACGTAATTGTCTTCTTATATAATAATGTCGTATGATGAATAGCGAGATACCAAAATAAAATAAAATAACTATGGATAATCCAAGTATACATCCATCACCACATATCGATTTACAATCAAAATTATAGCTATCGTTAATTGGAATTGATTCTGGATTTAAAGATGAAAAATCTTTTATTGGATGAAAATGAAGATGTGAATTAAAATGTTTATGATGGTGATGACGATTATTTTTGCGATTATGATTTCGATGTGATTCTACATGATAATTTGATTGTAATAATAATGCTTGTGTGAATATTATAAAATAATTAAAAGACTTTACTAAATTCATTCCTACTGTTTATTATATTTAATATTGCTATTAATACTGCTTTATTATTGTTGTTGTTGTTGTTATTGCTGATGCTGTTTTATCTCATAAATATATTAAAAAAAGAATAAAAAAAGAATTTTTTTTTTAGAGAAATTTTAGGATTTATTATTTATTCTATTTTGTGGCTTAAAAATCCAATTGGTTATTTTGGATTTGTATGAATATCATTTACTCGATAAAATCGGACACATCAATCAATTGTTTAAATATAAATAAATGAATGAATTATTATTATTATTATGAATTATTAGAAAATTGTTAAATCAATGTTTTTTAAAAATAGTTCCTTTTTTTCTTTATAAATATCAATAAGTAAATAATATATATAATAATAATAATAATAGCAATATTTTAATTTTTTAATTAAATAATAAAAAAAATTCATTAAACATTATTTTGTTTGACGATCGACAAAATGTTCTCCAAATCATCATCATTTACATATTATTGTGTCTAAATGTCTAAATACATTTGTTTTGAATCTAGATAATATTGATTGTAGAATGTTAGTATATAATTGATAAAATAATCAACACATCAATGATCAAATCAATAGATTAATAATTACCATTTCTACCATTTCTATCACTGATATTGTTTGAATTCAGTGGCTGTGGAAGATTTGTAAAATTCAATAATCTACTTGTATAAACAGCATTAGGATGCACTGTTGCTGTAATAATTGTTGAAGGATCAAATTTAAACTCGTCCATTTCATCAAACTCTTTTCGAATTGATATCATTTCATTGAGCCGCTCTTTACAATTCTCATCATCATCATTAAATGAATCATTCCAAAAATCAATAGTTTCTTTAATTTTTTTTGCAGTTGGGCGTTTATTTGGATCAGCATCCATACATTGATAAGCTAATTCAATATAAACATTTGGTGTATTATTGGAGAAGCCGGGCCTTACTCCTTCACATATCTTGATTGCAAGATCTATATCATGTGGAACATTACTAAAAGGTTGTTGACTTGTTGACACTACTGACATTAGAACACCAAAACTGTATATATCTGATGCTTTTGTGTATGGTTTATTATTTAACACTTCTGGTGCTACAAATGGTAATACTCCAAATATATTGTTTTTATTCGATGTTAAAGCTTGATCAGCTGGAATTGATAATCCCAAGTCAGTAATACATGTAAAATCATCTTGAAGAATATTACCACTATGAAGATCACGATGAATAATTTCTTCTTCATGAATATCTTTTAAACCTTTAATAATTTGTTGAAGGA